GTATAATGATGAACAGTGAAGATTTCTATATCTTAGAGCTCCTTAGTTGAGCTTTATAGCAAAAGAACATTAAGAAATTTAATAATCYTTAAAAATCTATTTTGTTTGGGACCGTAAAAAGTTTACATATTGAATGCCTRCTGTGTTATTTAGTCTTAATGTTATCTTGTATATGTGACCATAAAATCCAAATTTTTTTAAAGCTTGCCTTTAAAGCTTAGGTAGTTAATGGGGTAATTTGAAGGGTCTGAAAGGCAGTTTCAGAATTCAATGTATATTTCTAAATGAAATTGCTGTTACAGTATCTGTCTAACATAAACTGAATTGTTTCTTGCAAATCTTTCTCATTTTTCTTCTTCCAACTCCTTCTGCAGATACAAACTTCTGAGGTATTCCAGAGAACGTCAGTATATTGATGGCTTGAACAATTTAGTATATACTCCTAAAATACTTGTCAGTAGATTGTACAAAAATATAACTGTTAATCTCATACCAGAGCTTGCTCCTGTTAGAGACTATTGATGGAAGTGGAATGGCAAGATATCCTGCTAGAATAAACTTTTCACACTGGAAGCTACTGATAAACACTGTAAAACAAACAAAACCAACCAACAGCAGCTTAGAATTAGAGTTTTTGACCAATTTATGATGTTTATTTGGGATGAGAAGTGATTGTATGTACCATGCATTTTGTTCTGAAAGAAAAGCCAGCAGCTACCACTCAGATGTTTACAGCATGAGACTACTGTTCAAGCCTTCATTCTTCACTCTCTATCTTAACTACTCAACTAAATAATCTGCAGAAAATAGACTTGTAGCTTCTCTGGAAGTAGGGACAGAGGCCTCTTCCATGATTTTTTTATACTAAATTGCCCCYCCTTGTATTTAAATGAATGCTTTTGTTTCTTTTTAAAATGTGTTTTGTAAATATGTGATGTAAATTAATGTGTGTACATTGGTTTTCAATTGTTCCATATTTTATGCTTCAGTACGTATTTGAGTGTGTTGGCGTTTGAATTCTATAGGAATGTTTTTATTAGCATGAAAGAACAAGTGTAAAATGTAAGTATGCTTATAAAAAGGTTATACCTTATGTGAAATGAAGGAAATATTAATTGTTGGCCAGCTATGACTGTAAACTGTTATACTAGTTTTGAGCTCTAGGCCTCCTGCATATCTATATAGAAAAATCAATTTCTTATAYGAACCTGCTAGAAAGAAAGCTTTTAATTTTATTTATTGCCAGCAAAACTGTATGATACCCTCCCTGCCTGCCATCTGAATCGTATTTATATGCATATTGCATGTGTATTACAGAAAATCTTGCGGTTGTTGCATATTATGATCTACAGGAACTCTTTAACTGTTTCCAAGTGTGCCACTAGTGTCAATGTCAGGGATTTTAATGCCTAAAACAATGTGTCTGGGTGCGTACAGTATTTTGGTATTGTTCTTTTTTTTAAAAAAAAATTCCTAGTAAACAGCACTTTTATTCCTCCAAAATCAGAAGAGCCAAAAATGTGTCTTCATTGGAAGAATATTAAAGTTAGATTTTTAAGAGAATAATAAAACATAGTTCTAATAGCTCTAATGCTTGCAGTGTGGGATTTTCAGGAGCACGATGTTGGTCACACTGTTCTGCTGATGAGGTTGGCGATGACATAAGCGGACCAGAAAGCAGACCAATCCCAAGTGCTTTTTAAAATTCCACTCATAATATATTATTCAATATAGCTATTTAAGGGCCTATTCTGGCAGAGTGCTGAGTGCTTCTATGATGCACTGAGGATCCTCAAGTCGATGACTGTCAATGAGATTGAGGCTGCACAGTCCCGCTAAGGATTGGTCCTGTTTGTTTCTCTATTTTTGTGGTGTTCAATGTATGAGTAACTAGCCTCCTATCTTCTTATTTTCTCTTTGCTTGTAATGTTATGCTACCTAAAAGTATCCCACTGCTAAGCATTATTATCTTTCCTGATATTTTTTTACATCCCTTGTTAATACTAAGGAAAAGGACCAGGTCATTTATTTTCTATGTTAATGCAAATATATTGACCAAGATATACTAAACTTGTTTTGTTTGTCACAGTTACTCAACTCTTTAGGAACCAAAGACTGACTTCTGCTCCCATATAGAATGGAAAGCAGTATATATAATAAGGATTGTTTATCCACAGAGTGTTCTGTAAGAGTGTTGACAAAAAATCCTAACTTTAAGTCATTGCTGTATGTTGGTTTCCTGAATTGCTGCCACAGATGGTGTGGTGGTTTGTATAATTTAAGTTTGTTTGCCATAAACACATTTTATTTCTTTGACATCCCAGCAGCAAATTTTGCCCTTAGCCATCCTTCAGTAAAGTTATGAGCTTAGCTGTAGACAYCCCAAATATTTAGTAGAAATATTATTTAAGTAGTTGAGAACAATTGTAAGGGATATTTTACACCATACTGGAATTACCTTAAAATCTACCAGTTAACCTACTGTGCTTTAGGAGTGATGTAATACAATGAAAATAACTAAAACCATAAAGTGAAGAAAACATCCTTCAAAAGCATGCTTAAGTGGTTTGATCACCTCCTGATAGATTTTTCTATAATTGAGTGTATAGAACATTCTGAAGCATATGTAGAAAGGGGAGATAACACACTGTATGAGCAATTATATCTTCAGAATAAAATTAGTCATTTCATAACAGGCTAATACAATTGTTTAAGAACAGTTGAATAAGTTTTTTAATTCCTCRTGTAATATTGAAGTGATTTCTGATTTCAGTACAAGTTCACCTAAAATGTCAAGCCTACAATTATGAAACATTCTTTAGTACCGTAGGTCTGTACTSTTTTCTGAAGCATGCTTTTGTGCCCATTTCTTAGGCAGTCTGTGAAATTTATGTGTAATTAAAAGAAAAATCAAATGCATATRTATGTATATATACTTACATATATGCATACTATATTACACATATGCTGTGGCTGAACTAATATAACTTTACAGCTTTAAGTGACTGATCATGTATGGTCCTAGAAAAATGTGATTTAAACCAGTATGTGAATGGATTGTGACATATAGCTGAGTTCTTAAGAAGTTTACATTTTGGTGCCCCAAAATGATGGATGTTAAATTATGAATTGTTGACCTACACTCCTCTCTAAATAGYTTTTGTCACTTTGTTGGGAAGTTTAAAAGTTGCCATCTTAAATTACATCAAAATAGTGTTTGTATACTACCTGCTTGAACTCAGTACTCTTCTGTAGTGAATTTTAACATAGACAGTGCCTTCAAACAAAATAAATACGATGCAGAACTAAGAGTTGTGCACATTCCTTTTGATATTTTCATGGTTCTTGTAAAATGCAGAGAGAAGCCAATCACATTGGCTTTTGCATTGCTGACAAAGCAAATAAAGGACATCTTCTCTTTAAGGAGTGAACATGGAGGGAGAAGAAGAAGGGAGTATTTTACAAGATTCTGAAGGTCTTGCAAATTAGCAAGTAAAAACATTACAGAAATATTGAAAGCAGAATCTGGTTAATACACTAAGATACTCTTAAGCCCATTTTCTAGATTTCAGATTTAATTAGAATATAAAATATAAAGTCCATTTTGCAAATAGGCAGTGTATTGAAAAAGCAAGTGCAAAATGTCCTTTTTCTTGGATCTTGCCACTCTATTTTTCTATCATTATGTTTACTAATGACTGTGTTGTAGTGGGTTACTAATGAACCAGCTGTTAAAAAAAATTTAAAGGATCCATTGCATATCAGCAAGCAGAAGTGTACTTAAGATTATTTTATTTGTAGAGGTATGTAAGATAGGCTTAATGAAAAATGCACTGAAACAAATGCTGGGAATTTCCTGTGTACTATCATAGTTTTGGGTTTTTTTGTTCATGAAAATGTTTGTACTTTTTTATCATTGTCTTTTATGAAATACAATGTTCTAAAGATTGTGTTGGTTTGTTTATTCTGAGATTTTGTGGAAAAGATCTCACCTTGTGTTTYGTTTCTAGACAAAAKGTTCATATTTCTAGTGCTCAGTACCCCAAAGTAACAGCAAAAGGAAAGGACACACCCATCCAACTGCATCAAGTTAGGCTATGATGGGATCAAGCCTTAGGCTAACAGGGCATTTCCCCTTTCTTTATATTTATAGGCTTTCAGCTTTTAGTTTTATCAGGCTAAGTGACTCAACCTTGTTGCATACTTTTTCAAGGCAGGGTTGCTATTCTGTTGGATCTGCTGATGGTTCTTCCCTATATAGAAATTGCTAGAATGGGAACAGAAGGATTCATTCATTTTTCTCCTGATATTAGATAGGAAACTGATTTTCTTGGGATTCATTCAGTTATCCTTATTTTTATCTGCATTTTATAGCTATTATGAAATGTCTGATGGTTAGAGGTATGCAAGTAGTTCTGGGGAGTACTTCCACTGGGGACAAATTTATTTGCAGATTTTTCTGAAAATATGTGAATAAGCTTCTTYAGGTATGTTTGAGTGATATACTTCTTTAAACACAGGCTTCTGGTCTGTCCTTGGAAGTGTCACCAGTTATGATATATTGGAAAACAGGAAAGAAGGGATTTTAAGTATGTGTAGCCTGCTTAGCATCCCTAAATGCCATTCTACAGTGCTGTCACCTTTATCTGCTTTCGCTTCTATGTCTCCAAAACCAGAATTGAGAGGTGAGTTTATCTGATGATTATGTGGGGCTCTSAGTGAGCAATCCCGTGTGACTTCATCTCTGGTGGACTTCATTGATAAAACATAGGAGGTGTTAGTGGTGAATTGTATTTTCTGTGTGCTTACTTTTCATGAGACGCCTTTCACAGATGTGTTTTGTTCACTTTTGTTTTGTTTTGTTCATTCCTCTACAAGAAGAAATTTAATTTATCAACTTCATAGAAGACTGTTTTATTCTCAGTCACCATAATGGAATTTCAAGACATTTTTCCCAAGAGTAATGTGTTTTTTTCAAACCTCAGACTTTTACTCAGAAGGGCAATACAGAATACTTTTATTCAGAAGAGCAAACTCAGTACACTTTCTTCCTAAAGTTAACAAAGTGAATAAAAAACTTAGTGATTTACTGTGAAATCTAAAGCTGTTGGTACAGTCAGATACTAAGTTCTTATCATTTATGGAAATTTCAGTTTACACRACTGAATTTTCATGCTTAATGTCAGCTTCTACTCCACTGGATCGCTAACGACTGCTGTAGTTGAGTAAGAGAAGGGACTGACGACAACAACAATTTTGTAATTCCGATTACCAGCATCATTAGCTGTGAACACCACCTGGAAAAAGAAAAAAACAAACGTGAGACAAATAATAAGTGATCTCCAGATAAAAGCCCAGGTGGAAACATTACGATCCTGCACATGACATTTCAGAAATATTCTCACTCTCAATGGTGACTTGTTTGTAACACACAGTTTTCCCACTGTTTAAATATCCTTTGTTAAAAGTATAAATACCACATTATTTAGGATTTTGTACTACTTACTTATAAAAGATTGGCATTTCCTTGTGGGCACTCATAAATGGCAAAAAGATTTCTTACTTCCTTATTCCTTCCATATGAAAGTATACTATGAASCCCACTGGAATGGTTTTTTTTGCTCTTATGTTCTGAACTTCAAGGAGCAGAATTAAATAGTGCTACACTATCATTAGGCCAGAGTATAAAACAATGAGCTTCTTTAGTTCTACTTCAAAATCTTGTAGTTGGAGAAGGACTGCATTAATTATTTGGCCACAGCATGATAATAACCTTACCTATGAATGATTTACCACAGCCCTGTAACATCTCCCTGATCTGTAGGTCCTGTCCTTTGATTTTTCATTCCACATAGTACATTATTTTGTGTGGTGAGATGAGCAGAGTCAACTTTTAAAATAGGCAGCTTAATAGCATTCTGTGATGCACAGATTGTGCTCCTTTCAACATTAATAAAAAAGATGAATGTGAAACAACCAGTGAACTGAGCAAAATGTGTTCCCTACTGAGGCTTATTTTTAAGAAAGAAGGCTCTTGCACTGTAGATTAAATTAATTTCCAGTCAAACATTATCTTGATATACAATCAATTTACTTGCATGCTGGAAATCTTTCATTTTCCCTTTTTTATTTCGGTTCACACAGAAGGCAAGGCTATCTACCATTAACCTTCATTATTGTCTGGTATAAGGATGTCATCTTTCATTTGTTTCAGGAAGGCAAGAAAGAAAATTTAATCCAGGTGTTTGCAACCTTTACTCCAAGGAGATATGGAACTGCTGAGCTGATCTGTCACAGTCCAACAAACAACTAATATAGAACTGCTGCTACTGAGTGGCCTTARGAAAGCACTAATGCTGTGGAGGGGAAGGATAGAAAACTTCTCCGTTAGAAATGCATCTAGGAGCTYTGACAGGTCATGGGGAAGCTAGTGACTAGGTTCTGTTGTGACTGTGTTGCTACAAAGCTTTGTGGATTTAATGTGAAAATATTTAAAAATGAAAATAAAATTCAACATATGCAGTTAGTAATGGAAACCTACACATATTAAGTATCTTTATTCTTTGCAGCTGAAGTACAGGAAAAAATGAATACTCACATCAGCATGGTGGTGGAAGGGGTTCAARCCCAAACTCTTCCAGTAAGAAGCTGTATCAAGCTCAAGCTTGTATAACCCTGTTACAAATTGTTCTTTAGTTGTAAGCTCCAGGAGGCCTCCTTTTTCATTGGTTTGTCTGTGTAATGGTAGAAGAACACATTTTTATTGTTTGGTTAAAAGCCTGAGAAARATGCAGTTTATAGCAATTGAACTGGGGTGATGTGTGGCTTAAGTAATGTGATGAATACTTCTATTGATCTGGAATGGCTTATGTCCACCTGTATTATGGATGCTTCAGAGCTTATCTTGGCATTTGCTGCTTCCACAGTGACCACAGCAGATGGCTGCCTGCCATCTCACTGACTCTGCATGTTTTGGGGCTGAGCCAAAAGCTGACATTATTGTTCAGAGACTCTTGGCAGAGTCTTGGAGTTAATTAAATGAACCTACTTAGAGGGAAAAAGCAATGTGGAAGCTCTGTGATGCACTTACTGCACAAGTAAGTAGGGTCAACTGTCCTCATTTTTCTGTAATTTTCTTTCTTGTTTAAGTGTTTTGAGTTGTTTTATCAGTCTAAATATTTTTTACCATTGGCTATTAGAAATTTGAGATCTGCTATTTGAAATGACCATAGGTCAGCTGACAGTGTAGCCTTAGGGAATTCCTTGTGGTATTGGCCTCAACAAACAGAGGGTTTTGTGTGAGTTGAAGATGCTGTCAGTGTTATCTAAAGCCCTTGTACTAGTTTGAAACCATAAATCTTCAAGCATCAACCCATTTAGGCCTCYAGAATCAATATTGAATGCTGTCTCTCAAACATGTCTCTTTTTTTGAAACCTCCTTCTGTAAAGAAACCTTCATAATATTGAGGTTTTTATTAGATGGGTTATCTGCAAAAAACAGAGCTGCCAGGGTCTACTTTTCATCGGTAAAAACCATTGTTGCGTGTTCCAGCTGCCACATTTTTTCTGAATATTTTTTATTCAAATTGCATGCAGAGAAAAATAATGTCATTGTCCAGTGCATTGCTTAAGTTTTTTTTTGTATATGACTTATAAAAGGAAGTGATAGAACACCATTTGTGTCTTACCAGATGTTCTGTAGTCAGTTATCAGTTTTTTATCCATCCAATTGTCTCTATTTTTCTTTGTCATAGATTGCTCATTGCTAGATAACTGGTCACTTCTCTAAAAAGCTTTTCCAAAGACATCTTTGATCTCTTGCTAGCATTCAATTATTTAYAAATTATTAAGGCTGGAGATGTTGATTTAGTATTAGCATGACTTTTGCTTACCCTAACTTGAGGTTACTTTGCTCCTTGTTTCAAATGTTAAATGTGTTTTTAAGGCTTCAGTTGACATCCAGCTGTTCAGAATGGGTATCTTTATATAGAATCTCCAAGCTCAGAAATGAAGAAAAGCAAACTGARCACTCTTACTGGAAAATTTCACACATTTCCAGCGACATAATATGTGTGAAATTGTCTTCTCACTTGAGGGTGTGAGGCAATTTAAGTAGGACAACATGAATAGGTTGTTTTCCCCACATTGTACAATTGCCTGGCCTTYGCTGTAGCTCTATTTTTCAAGGACACGTCAGAGCAGTGTTGCTCCTGCCAGCCCACTGCTCAACAAAACCAAAGAGTCATATGCACAGCTTCTCTTGGAATTTCCAGAAATGCATCTGAGTCTGGGATTCCACTGTTGAATTTCATGGGCTATGCCAGCTTTAGCCCTTGGGAGCCCTTTCTCACTTTCTTTTTAGGTGAAAGAGACTTAAAATACCTGGAGAGGTCTCAGGTGAGACTTTTCAATGATCACGAGGAACTAAGTGTGAAAGTGTTATATTGTTTGTTTAATAGAGGATGGTCATTCTTTTGGATGTTTCCAATTTCATTTCAGATTTTACTTTAAGTAAAAATTGCTTTTTATTCTTTTAAGTGTTAATATGTGCTAAAATAGAGGGGAATTAAGAAAAAGTAATCAACATTCAAAATACAACCATTATGTTTTTTAAAAAAATGCAATATTCAAACATCTGGAGCTTTTCTTTGCTATTTGAGATGTAATTGCATCTCTGTTGGGGAGGAGGTGAGAAAGTGTTGTCCCCAAATTTTCTCCTTTTGGGTAAGTCCTTTATCTTGAAGTAAAAAAGGCTATCAAATATGGTTTATTAAATGTTCAAAACAATTCCTTTTTAAATCTGTGGTGTTGTAAGAAATTAAAATCCATTTAGAAAAATGAAAATAACCAATAAAGGCAGTATTCTCAACCAGAGTCTTGGTTGCAGAATATAAGAATCTGTCTGACTCTTCTGGTAATAAAGCAAGCAGTTCATTGCTGGGTACTAAAAAATAATATAGACCTTTGCAATGAAATTGAAGACAAGCAATGACTGAATTAAAGGATAGCTTAAAATACTTTCTTGTTTTTGTAGGAATCATAAAGCATTTATAAAACCATTTTGGCAGTTGAAACTGTAGTACATTTAAAAGACAGTCTACAGCAAGTTAATTCAATTGWATGTTATCTTTCCTCTAAGCAAAAAAGACATCTCACATTAGAGAATATCAACGGGTCTTTCAACTATTTGGCCTCTTGCCATTGCCTTTCCCCATCTTTCACTCATTATTTTAGTGTGACTTACTTTGAACTTAACAGTTCCCAAGATCCTTCTGCAACTTCTTTATACAACTTCACTGGAACATTTGGAGCTGGACTTCCTCGGACTGCGTCCACAACTTTTATGTAAAGAGGCTCCTTAAGTAGGAAGAGAGAATTTTTAYGTTGCAAGAAGGGTAAGAGAAGGTGCATCATAAAGCAGTAAGGAATATTATTCTTTAGATCTAGAGACCAGCTTTTCCACAAGAAGATTGCTGTGTACTGCAGAAACATATTCTTTCTGGGGGCTGAATATGGCAAAGCCAGAGAGGAAGATTTCAGGAGCTGTTGGGCATGTAGCCATGTACCCCAGGGAGGCACTGGGGTTGAGACCACATTTCTATTTCTTCTTTGGCTTAGCTACACACCATCTCCAGCATAAAGTTGTAAYTAAATTGTGGCCTCAACAGCAAATAGTTATATCCTCAAAGGTAGTAGGAATGTTCAAAAATCTGCCAACTCGTCCTCTGTATTTTGGGCTGGCCATCTGAGCACAGCTTTCTGGATTTGAGAGGCTGTGTTGYCATAGAGTTACCTTAATTCTGCTGTAAACCTGATAAGCACCGCATACGCTCTCCTAACAATATGTTGAATCAGATTTGTCAGCCCTGGCAGCTACACAAGGGTAGGAGAGGAAAATCTTCCTACAAATACAGAATGGCTATAGTTTCACTCCTACACATTCATCACAAGTAGTGATTATGGCCTGATGTTTTACCTGTTCAAAAATAGAGTTGATTCAGGGCTTTGACCTTACCGATTTCTACAGATGAAGAGTGAGAAAACCGAGCTTTGTAGAAGGTGTTAATCAGGGATGATCTCAAAATAGCAGTCACTGATACCCATTTAATAATTGTAAAATGAATTGTGATGTAGATGGTTTAAAACTAAGAGCCATCTCTTTCATTCCCTCTTACATTCTGGGATGTTCTGCGGGCCAGGAACCGTGTCTGGTGTCATACCAATGTATCAGCATGTGTCTACACTACCTGTGCTTCCAGATTCTTCCTGCTCCCTTCCTGGAATGCAGGGGCTCCTCACTGCTGTTTCTTGTGAGGACTTGGCAAGAAGAGCTGCACTGCCAGTGCTGATTTTCCTGACTTTTACACCCTGGGAGATCAGTGGAAATCTAATTCCTCAACAAGGTTAGGTATAATTTTCCCAAAGATCAGAGTTGAGAGGAAAAGTGAGTAGTTGAGGAGAGAGAAAAGGCTGTTATAGGGGAATTTAATGCTGAAGCTTGTTCATTATGTTATGAAAGCTCCAAGATTTTTGTCTAGTGACTATGGCAGCTTTTCCTTTCTTGTTTTCCGTGTAGTTTCTGTGTCTAATGACAAGTGCTACTTCTCTACCCATTAAGTCCTCTCACTAACCATTAGAGAAGGAGAAAGAATGACCAGAAGAGAACCACAGTAAATACATACTATAAAATCAAAAGAATCAAAACAAAATAGAATATTCTCTTTTTTTTTTCCTTTTTGCTTGAACTAATTAAAATAAAAATTAAAAGAAAAGACATTGGGACTACATCAGTAGAAGGACTTCAATCCTGAGGCACTTACCGATGGTGCAGCTTCAGAGCAAAATGCCAGGCCAGCTAAGARAACCAGAAATACAGAATGAAAAGCCATTTTGCCTCCCAGTAGGAAGTCTGTGTCAGCAAGCAGAAGCTGCTGGGATCTGTGATTTTTATATCAAGGCCTCTGAAATGAAGCTACTTATCAGAAAACTACCGACTTTCAAAATGCAGATTCATGCTGTTTACTTAGTAAACAATAAGAAAATAAGTAACCCATACAAACATGAACCTTGTCTGTGAAAATAAGTAGTTTTTATCTTTGTGGAAATGTTGTGAATATTGTCTATTCAGAATGGTCAATTTTCTTTGAAACAAGRTCTATTCTGTTTTATTTTTCTCTTTTTATTGACAATTAGTGCTATATTGACCTCATATAGTTGAGAGAAATACAAATTTTATGTCACTGCAGCGATTTYAGTGAGAAATTCTTTGTGATTATGGCTTGGTTTAATCAAGTCACCCATGCTTGTGTATTTAGAGATTTCTCTCTGTGTTGATCTCCTCCCCACCTCTAATAAAAGGTAGRTAGATAATTTGAGATCTATCTAGTTATCTTATATGCTCCATAGGAGGAAAAATACATTATTTTTGGTTTCCAGCATGACATCAAGATACTTACACACCAATTCTGAAGCACAGTTAAACATTATTTTAAGCTGTATCACTTGTGTCTTAAATTCAGTACGAGCTCAGGACTTTGCCTGYACAACTGCAAGTCAAATCCTACCAGAAGCATCTGGCTCATTCTAGGGAAATGCTGCTTCTTGAAATAAAATTTYATCTTTCTGRTCTTTGCTTAGACATGTACATGCAYGCTTTTGCTAGGTGTATYCTCTCATCAGATGGATGGCTACAAGCAGAGTAGTTTTTTTGGTTTGCTTTTTTGAGGAGTATATCTTTATGTGGATATTTGTGTTGTATTTGAGGGCTTTGCATAACGCAATGTAAATGAAACTTACTGGTTTTCAAGCCTCAGGAAAATCAGGATCCCATGAAATGTCCATATTTGATGATGGGTGTTATTTTGAAACTTTTTGCACTGCTTACAAGAGTTATGTAACCATGGTAAAATCTAGAAATCCATGGAAAAGTAACCAAATAGTGAAACGTTAAAGTCAAGCTTTTGTAACTTGTGAATTCACTCGCTATGCCGTCATCCCAGCAAGCTCTGGGTATAAAGTCCAAGGTCAGTGGCAAATGAGTGCTGAAGGTTTCTGACTGGCATGATTTCAGTTTCTTTCTCTGTAATTTCTRTGATCCAATTTAAAACAAATTCCTCTACTTCAGGATTTTTAAATGCAATAGAGCACAAGTTTAGAGAAATCACTGCTAAAGCCCTCAAAGTCTTGAGTCAATTTATCAGCAACTTTATTTGAATCACAGTCACTCTACRGTTTGCCTTTTCCTATTTCTAAAAATATGAAGATAATATTAAGATGATGCTTTTATTTTAGGACTTCTTTTTAATGATGGCTAGAGATTTGACTTAGAGATTTAGCTGGAATGGACCTGAATAGGACAGTCAGCTGCTTTATGTCAAATKATTACTTTAATATCAAAGATGTTAAAAAAGTACTAATTGAAATTACTTCAGTGCTCCCTAGATTGATTAGGCAGCCAATTTTCCTCTTGAAACATCAAAGTGTTGAGGTTTACCTGAAGATTTAAGTAAAGGTACACAGATTTTAACACTTGCAGCTCTCTGGACATATACATTTTCAACAGTTTCTGCATTGTTTGTCATGTTGTTAGGTATTCAGAATTTCACCTATTTCACTCTGTGACCTGATTGATAGTGGGGCCATCATTTCTGTGTGTAAACCAGGAGCAGCACAGAAGACTTTCTTACTTTGAGTCTATTTGTTTGGTAATTTTTTTTAAGGTGACACAACAATATGAATTTCCWATTTGGAACCAATGTACTTGGTGAGACTTCTTTAAGGTAGTGGAGGAACAGAATTAAATCAAGTTTYATCCCGCATGAGTTTTTCAAATGTCCTTTGCACTTCAGTGCAAATCATAACACTTTGGAAAACAATAAAATTTCACCAATGGAGTCAAAAGTGTTTTAAAGTAATATTTTATTCACTTGTCTGAAGTTTGCCAGGTTACAAAATGGAAAAAAACAACAACTAATATAGCAAAAAGTTATGCATTAGCAGTAGGAAAACCTTCCTCCTGAAAGCCTATGATAGTTCTAGTGGAGGAAAGTGTTTGTGAAAAGACAGTACATGTTTATTCCTGGGGATCAGTGACAACAGCAGTGGTTGAGTAGGAGAAAGGGCTGAGGAGAGCGGCAATGGTGTAGTGGCGGTGACCGGAGTCATTAGCAGTGAACACCACCTGGAAAAGAAAAAATTTGTGGTCATGATGAACAAATTCCTTTCAAAACWACCTTATTAACAACTGAGAAGCACACCCCACTGCATCTGCAGAGTGCTTTGCTGRTTCTGTTCAATGCTTTTGACCTTCTGAAGGGTAATGCTTCTTTGTGGTKCTTGCCAAGGACTGTGATATTTGTGAGATTTGGACTGAGGTCCACAAAGAKCCTCAGCTGTGTTGGAGCTGGATGGAGATGCCAGCACCTGATCAGGCAAACTGCTTTGTGGTGTGGAATGGGAGGGTAAGGGGGAGGTATCTCAAATGACCAATAAGAAAGTCGGGGTGAAATTCCACCTAGGGGATTTAAATACAAACCCTGTGTGAGGTGTCCAAGCTAGGCAGGCAGCTGGAGCCCAAAGCTGCATTCTGCACTTCAGTGCCCCCTCCTGTTTTTAACACCACTAGGGATGGGTCAGTTTTTGAATTACTGAGTGGCTAGACTTGCCAGAACAAGGAGAGACCCTTGCCCTGAGGCAATTAAAGTCTGCTGCTCTCCAAATCAGTCCAACRAGACTTGAGACACACAATTCCCAGGAAGGTGTCATCACCCAGCTTTATTTGGATCTCTTTAGCCTGCTATTTGATTTATGTTCTAAACCATGATGTACATTCTGCAAGTGGACTAGAGAGTTCTCTCCTATGACCAAAGTCTAAGCTGCTGGAACGTGAGGACAGTGGGGCTTCAGTTACATTGTACACAGACAGTCACTGAATTCTAACCTCTYCCCAGGCTAACTTGTTGACTTGTAGACTAATATGTCAAGGAAAATCTTCTTCAGCCTAGTTGGAACAGTCTCAACCAGGCACTTTAAAGCACCTTTTGAGGTGTAGCCCTTACAGTTTTCATCGAAATGGTTAGGGAGTATTTTTGAGGTTAGTTTATTTGACCCTAATCACCCAAAACTGCACCTCAGAATTTTACGGACCTGGGACTCAGTCATTTGTCTGACTCTTCCACAGAGCTCCATGAACTTGTGGTTTAAAATTTTCTACAACACTACCAGTAGCTGATCCAGACTACCTAAATTGGAGAATCTTAAATGTAATGACATATTAAGCCTGAAGAATTTAAGCAGATTTTTRTCTGTGCTAAGTATATGTAGAGCACACAGTAAATCAGTGTAGGGCTGAAAGCAAAAGGAGAGACAGGACATGATTATATTGCTGGCCTGACTATGAAACTTGAGTATCAAC